ACCTCGCCCATGATGTAGTGAAGATCAGCAAAAATTAAAGCTTCAGGAAATATGATATGATGCCACCATGTGCCAAATTTGATAACGTGTCGAATACTGAGATGCTAAGTTTACAAGCCTTATTGAGACTGGCTTTATTTCAACATGAATAAAAGTACATCCATATCAAATTTCTAGGCAGTGTTTTAAGCCCTTCATATTCTATTTTTTATATTTATACTTCGAATGAACGAAATTTAAGAGATTTCTGTAGACACAGACAAGCAGGTGAAGTGATCTTTCTGTTCTTTGTTTTGTTTGTGGTCCGAATAATTAAGATTCGAATCTTGCCACAACCATATCCGAATAGACAAATTATACAAAGGTCGATTATCCAATTCGAACTTGACGTCCAAAATAATCGCACTGCAATGTATATTTTACAGAAATATATTTATTTACACGTTTCGACATGTACCAAAAATCGATAATGCTATGTAACGGAGAAAAAGCACTGTTTAGAGGAAGCCGAATGGTGGATCATATCCATCCGGATTGGGTCTTCGGCGTGGACGCCCGGGTCTTGGAATATCGATGAGCCCAGGCGCATCTGGATACAGCGGATCGAAGCGGGGGCCGAAGGGTTGTCTAGGAGCTGCTGGAAAGTTTTGCGGCAGCCGTGGCGGTCCTAAATAAGGTCAAAATGCGAGTACGGTCACTAGGTTGAATAGCAGATACAAGAGAATGAGCAAAAAGTGTACTTTAGTAGCGCATTAAGTACAAGAATAAGGTACAACACATCGTTTTAAAAGAACTTACGTATATAATAAGTTCCTTCGTTCATGTTTAGGAGTTCGCTTAAAACTAAATGCTTGAATCTGACTTTGAAACCATAACAGCTATTATGTAGGTTCGACACCAGTCAGTGCTTAATCCTAAATCTAAACCATTTCCTACTAACATGGCTCACTGTTTAAATTGCACCTGATAACAGTTTTACCTAATACAGAAATAATCCTTTCCTTCATGCTGCCATTTTTAAGGCGTCATTTTTGTCCATTTTGACGCCATGTGAACATTACGCAATGAAGTTGTTTAATCAGACCTAATGCTATATTGAACAGCAGAGCACAATACAGTAAGTATTAAACAGTCTCGATCAGTCGCTTATGAACTAACCATTAAAAATATGATCTGAGGTGGATAAGGACTGTTCATAGTTTCAAACTCTTCTAAAAACTGCGCCAATAAACGAAAAATTAATGTATTATTAATAAGTAATTTTTGATTTACGCCTAAGAAACGCCTTAAGAAAAAGACTTACTGAACGGGTACAAAGGGTTCAAGTCAGCAGGTCCACCGATCCCTGGAAACTGAGCATGATCTGGATCTTGTATGTTATTATCGGATCCTAAATACGCTAAATCCAGTGGTTCAGGTAAAAACTACTGCCGAAAAATAAATAAAATTACGGGGAAATAAAAATGGCAGTTGTGGAGAAACAGAACGATGTCGTTTTGTGCTTAAGTACCTTCTTTGGTACATCGTAAAGTAGCAGTTCGGTCCAGCATTCTCCGCTTCAGCATCGGCTACTGCGGAACCTACAGTACAAAATAAGTCATCAATTAATTTCTATGCATCCTAATGATAAGTCATTACTTTACAATAAAATCGGATATGGTATAAACTGAAAATAGGTAAAAACATATCGTAAATCGCACATTACTGCATATATCTTATATGCTGTTTCAGTAGTCTTGCCAGCATCGTTATATTGTCTTATATAATCCTCAAGCTGAACATGGTACCATCAATGAAGTTTCAACTACTACAGCAAATATACTAGTCCACTAAACGTATGTGTATGGGCATAGATGACGTTGTCAAATATTTCCTGAACATGCATCGCTTCGTTGCACAAATTTCTGTTCCTGGCGTAAGAATGTGTTATTGGTAATTCACGGAAGAAACCAGACATCCTTCGGGTTTAGTTCATAGTTACGCATCTTACACTTTACCTTTCGGTTGTCTTAACATCAAAGCCCATATTATTTTGTTCCCTGGCTACCTTTCTTACCTTGACTAATTCGAAGCTGAAAACGTGCTGGGTTCCCAACGGCCTTCTGTTCTAAGCGCCATTCAAAGAACCGCGTAGTCCATTTCAAGTTGTCATCCATTATATAATGGTTGGGCAAATCATCGACGCTTTTCGTTGAAGCTGCCCTACATGACCAAACTTTCAGGCAGTTTTCAGTCCTGCTTACAAGACCACAGAAAATCGTGTAGAAGTTCGTGCATTAAAAGATGTATCATGTCCGTCTCCTTGATAAAACAGTTGTTTTGAGGGCGATTATACTCTTTTCGCCGCTGGTAAAAATGTTTTCTTAAGTTCTTACGGATTCAATGCAGTTAACGTCTTGAGTCCATTAGCTGACTCACAGGCTGCACGTTTTCCATACCTTATTCATTAAAATTTCATTGAAATTTACTCATTTCAATCGACCATTTTACGTTCATTTGTGTATCAGAGACTGCTTATAATTAAACCACAGAGGAATTGAAGATAATAAACTGCGAAGCGTCAGAAAGTTTTAAACGCTGCTTCGAATCTACATTAAGGTCAGTGTAGCTCATCTAGAGAAAAGGGATCGACTTGCAGCCGAATGCTTGTATTCCTTGAATTATTTAGGCGCACGATACCATAGCAGGGCCTACACGCAGTAACTGCTGCGTAACTACGGGTATTACCCTCAAAATCCATGCCCAGTTTTAGGAAAGAGGCTCTAAAGAAGATCGATATTCCAAGGATATCAACCACTGAACTATCCATTTTGTCGGAAGGTTTAAAAATTTGTGTATAAATGATCAGGGTTAAAAAAGCGATATTATACAAAAAAAATATCTTAGACAACAAGTTAAAAAGCAAGCCATATAAAATACTTCCAAAATCTCGGTGAAGCAGGTCTTTCCACACGGTAACACTGTGCCATAAGTGTTGTAATGCTTTGCAGGTCTGAGTGAGCCGCGAAAATGTCACAAGAGACAAATAAGAAGCAATTTTTTGCAGCACCACCTCTGGGAAGGTCTTCAAATTACCTTAAAGTATTAAAACTGCATAGGAAACAAAAACCAATGGATAGCTTACATTTTACGGCGAGGTTGTGCACAACAGAAACTAAGTTTTTCCTTAGGCTCGCAGCAAGTAGACCGATTTTTTCAGGACTGAGATTCTCTAAAATCACCGGCATAAATTTTTTTAAATGCAAGACAGCACTAAGTGTGAAAACTTTACAGCAAAGTCGCAACATGCACTTGAAGCAGTTCTGTTCTTTATTTAGCCTTTAAAATTTTAGGAAAAGACCATGGAAAACTTGTGATTGTTCGGACAGCAAAACCAGCAAGGAGAGCTAATGAGGACGCGGCGATTAAAATAAATAGGATACTCCGATCTACTTTAATCCACAGGGCAAGGAAAAAGGGAGTCAATTGAGGGCATTTTGTGAAGCCTCTGAAATGGCAAGTTCTTATCCACCTACCACTGATCGAGAACAATGTTGCTGTGCCTCAACCCCCTCTATCTCATCTTCTGCTAGGCGGATCATGGTAGTTTTCTGGCGCAACGGTGTTGATGTCAGCCACGTTCGACCGATGGCGACGATTTGAACAAATTCCTCCGATCTGTAACTCTTCCACTAACTGGAGATTAAGGTTTCGAAATGTAAAGCAGCAAAACTACAGCTCAAAGACACGTTGCCATAACTGCTGAATTACAGTTTACGAACCATAACTACATTTATCCCTCACCTTGTGAAAAAGTTCCTAGTTGTTGGGTCAAAGCAACTGGTACTTCCACATTGTCCTTTTCGATACCGACGTCGAAGGAAGCTCTGACATAAGCTACTTCATTGTCCGTGTCTTTCCCGTGAATGGTAATCGTCAGTTCAACGATCACAGAAGAAATCTGATTTTCGTAAAGAAGTCGGAAGAAACCAACCCCCGACAACTGCCTCCAATCAGCTGGCAATCCTTCACCTTCTCCGACGTTCTTCAACAAACAATCGGTTAAAAAATATGATCTGTCAAAGTACCTTAAAGCCATTTTCGATCAACAAATGATGTATCGTAGCACAGAGTACTTCGGAATTCGAGGTCAAGTTTAAAGATTTGAGGACAGACGCTAGGGCAGCGTTGGCATGTAGGTTCGACTCGGCTGAGCAAACGGCAGCGGTTTCGCAGGGACATTCCAGCACGTAGATCGTGTCCCCGTTCACCAGGCCAAGAGTGTCAATTGTAACCACATCGAGATCCCTCGATATCTTGTCTACGCCGTTTAAGCTCAAGTAAAACCTGCCCCTGAAACAGAAAACAGCTTAAATCAGGAATAAAAAGAAAAACAACTTTGACTACTCTAGATGAAAAGCCTCAACCGCCATCGCCATTAAGGTCACTAGATCCACCGAATTTTCCACCGTTATTGAATGCCTTTGACCTCGGAACTTCAAGTTCAACTTCATACTGGGCATATCTAAATAAATTGATGAATCTGGCAGATCTTGCAAACAGGTCCCACTCTACGATATCAGTTTATAAAAGCAACTGAAATCTGGTAGGAAAACCAATGGTTTAAAATCCGACTTCACACCATACAAATTAAATGTCTGCAGTTTACACTTATTAAACCCGTTCTAACTGAACATTTCGTTCATACGTTGGTCGTAATACCGAAAACAGCATAAAACACGGTTTATTAATAACTAAAACATTATAAGACGAATTACTAATATCGATGTTTCGGCTCATATTTCACGCCTTTATCAAGGTATGAGACTGGTAATGCTTCGTTTTTCTTGTTGTCTGCAACAATTAGTGGCTTGGAGCCAGAAAGATTCAACCTCAGATCAGACTGATAATATCTTTTTGCGTTATGTATCATTTTATTGTGTTTTCCAACATGCTCTGCTTGAGAAGTTTATCATATAATATAGCACACAAAACGAAACTATATGTTAAGCGCCACAAAACAAACGCTTATATAGCCATCGTATAATCGCACTCAGCTGATACAGTAATGCAACAGTAGGAATATATCACCAAGTACGATTAGCTACATTTTATTACTGGCAAACTCAATTGTAAGTGTCACAGTCTCTAATTACCTAAAATTATTGCTTATTCCTTTTGTTGATTATCACTGCGAATAGTCAGTTATCGAGTGAATGAAGGCGAATTGTAGCTACAATAATCGCTTGTTTTAAACAATATGGCTACTTGTCTTACATGGTAAATCAACGCGCAAATCAGTAACTAGCTTATTTCTCGATTGGTTTCACTGAAATGGTGTAAGGTGGATTCATTGTTCAACGAAATTTATGTCAATTAACGTTGTCGCACACGTTATAAGACGATTGCTGTCTATGAAGTCTGTTTCGAACTTCGGAGATGCCAGGTTTGTTTCCGCTATAGAGCAATCTTTCTCTTATTCATGAATTCACCTGAGCTTGGAATTTATCACACACTGTTTCAAATCGGCATCTCCCAGTCGTAAAATGATGAACCGACATTTTAAGACCCGACAGGTTTCTACTTCGAGCCTCAGTATGAATGTGCTTCAACCCTACGAATCAGCTTGTAAAAGCAACCGGCGATTTTCAGTTTGGATCATGACGGCTCTTGCCAAATTCATCAAATTGACCACGCATATGACAAAAGAACTATGCCGTCCAATGGATGTCGCGTTTTATCATAATGACCTTAGAATATGACTTTCTTCGCGTGCCAATCACTTGATCAACTACTATTATGTCTAATTTTAGAGTTTATTTGGCCCGCCAGAAACCTAAGGAACTTCAGTCCGCCATATGGCCGTTCAGCGGCTGAGATGACGATTTTCTTTAAAGTACCTGATCGTCCGAATACTTTGAACATTCATTTCATGTTCTGAACATGGTTTATTGCACATTCTCAGACTTCATCCACGGACTTTGCTAAGTTTTTCAATTACATACGGTTCTCATGAGTTCTCACAAGATCCTTTCAATGAGGAGGAAGTGTCGCATTTTCTGTGCTCCTTGCCAGGACATTCTTTGCTAAAATTCTTTGTTCACTGCAGAAACGAGTTCAGTGGCATTCATCGATACATGCACAGTCACGATCTGCGATATAAAGCCATCGCTTTCCGTTTGTGTTCTCTTATGCTTATTTTCGGACCTAAATGATTAGTGTAATCTGGACCTCTTCGCTACCGATCCGTCGAAGTGACGCATGTGCTGTTTAAATGTGTTGCATATCCAGTAAGGCGTGTCTTCAAACAGCAACTGAAAAATGACAAAAACACCTGGAAGATTGCATTTATATTGGTCTATTGTAAATTCCACATGCGCTTGCTGTACTACGCAGTGGGATATCTACTGGTTAATACGCTTAACATGGTGCTACTTTCTGCTTTTTCCAGATTACAACAAGCAGCAAAAATTAATCTCAACATGATGCAGTGGGTAGTTGACTATTTTACGGAAACGTAGAAATGTTTAATTCTTAGAAAACGACCTTTCGAAAATGCTAATAATATCCGCATTCCTTTAGTCTCCATCCCTCCAGTCTCCATTGCTGATCAACTTTTACTTAATCCCACCGAAGTCAACAGTTATGCGATCTTTGTGGAATTTACTAACGCTGTGGCACTGATTTTCGCTGTTACAGACTTTGCACAATCCTCTAAGCTGCTATGTGTCTGAAAAAGAAAATCGGAGAGTATCTCATGTAACATTTTCACGTCAACGGTAGTACTAGTTTGAAAATGGCTTGTGTAATTAAAGTAGCCTGTCAAGACAAGTTTTTCCAGTAGCGCAACAAATGGGCACTTATTGAAAACTGAAACAGATTGGTTCCAAGTACTCAGACTCACAGCCATGTGGAAGTTTGCATAAATGATCATTTAGACTTGTTTGCGCATAGTAATTCATTCTTCACAAAAATGCTTTGATTCATTCCACCTGATTAGGTTGCTGATATTCCACGTATTATAATCAAATAAGATGGTTTATCTCCAACTCTATTGCCTGATAACGGCAACTACTTTATCGGTGTTCGACAGCGAAGGAATTTCGTTTCTATATCATCATTCGGAGAAAATGCGCCATTCGTTGTGCTGTAAATTTTGGAGAGTCAGCCGTTATTTACATTATATCTATCATTTAAGAGAAATGCATTGTTAAATCTGCTATGAACGTATAAATTTGTAATATAAATTTACCATTCTACTTTTCGAAATTTGGGTGAAAAAATAGTAGTAATATGTATTTTTGTGGGAATGGTATAGCAAGATCTTCCGAAATAGCCTTTTAATCGCTATTTTGGTACGGTATACCTTACCCATAAATCTGTGCACCAGTGAAAATTTAATGATTTCGTTAATATGATTTTGGCATTTCCCTTCGGTACTTTGATTTATGTATATAACATATGCTTATTTGCGTTGTTCTATTTTGTAAAGTAGATCACTGGATGCCAAGTTGACTTATTGGTTTCCGTTTTAATATTACATTTCAGATTTCGTTTCTCTAGCTCTAAGCTGTTTAAGTCTGTTCATATTCATCATGATATCAAATTTTGCAGTCGTAGCAAATATATGCCATGCTAAACGGTAGTGTTTAACTGAGAGATGAAATCTTCGGAGGACTGAAGAAGACAGGAAGTCTTCAGCAGAAAATACATGGCAGTGCCGCTCTTTATTGGCGATATCTCGTGTGATGATTTAATGGTTGAGTTGATTTTATGCGCTCATTGTTTTTCCGCAAATGGAAGTAGCTTGCTAAACACTGTAATAAAACAGGGGGTCGACGGAGTGGTTGAACCTTCATTCGACAGTTCGGTTTCTCTTAGAGAGATTAACGATGAAACGAAAATTAAGGGTGCTAGGCCATAGGGTGTGGCAATTGTTTTTAATGAGTGACTGTGACGAATAAAATGGCGTCAGGTATATTTATGCATTTGACAGTGTTAGCGATCAAATACTATGATTACATGACCTGATTATATGGTCGCCCCACTTGGCAGTTAGCAGCAATGAAGCGGCGCAATACGCTGTAAGTTCTGGTCTTACATGCGTTATGCATTAGCTGTATAGATAGGTCAGAAGTGTATCAGGCTGTTAAACGCATGGTACTGTTTTGTTTAGTAGACCTCGTGCGTCTTTTGTATTTGACTTAGGCGACAGGCGACAGTGCTGAATGAAGCCGACAACATAAACAGAGATTTGTAAATAATTAATGAGTGATAACAATCACGACTTTAATGGTACTGATTAATTACGTGTTTAGGTTCGAAACTTTTATTGATTTTAAAATTCTGCTATTCCTGCTGTTGAAAATTGTGCACGATTTCTTTATTCGGAAGGTGATAGTCTTTGGGTAGGTCACAAACTGGAAGACGACGTATCACGTAATCAATTGTACTCTGAAGACGGACCGAGCTTGGTCCTAAACGTCAGATGTCCCAGATTAGAGACCATTTTATGCATTGTTTTCCCGTTTGTGACTTACCTAAAGATTATTCTTGCTGTTTTTATAGTTATGCATATTTCCGTACATTTTTCCTTTGTTTTTGTTTTATAATTGAATAATTGATCATGTGAACACTTTGTTGGTACATGATTAGGATTTCCGATCATAAAGCAACTATTGCAAGTTTTTGTTTGGCTTAATCCTTAACCTAGCCATTGTTTTATATTTCGATATTCTGACCATGTATAAAGAATGTTTAGTTTTATTTCCTTATATCATTTTTGCAACGGTAGCAGCTTCAGGAGGTTTCTCCAAGCAGTGTTCGCGTTTTTCTGCCAATTAGGCAAACTTCGAGATCCAAATGCTCGGCCAATCCAGTTTATTATTCCCAG